ACGAAATGTTTCTTCAGAACTTTGAAGGTTGGCGTGGCGTGAAAAGCAAAACGATGACAACCATTGCCATGATAAATCAAGTAATATCGAGTTATGTGTGAATGTGGGTGCTTACTTTCCTGTGAATTGAGGCGTTTCACTCGGCCCACGATTACATGTGATAATGGGCGCTCTGTGGATATGATTCACGTACACAGCAAGGGAGCTACATTAGATACAAGTCGTTCACGGCTACACACAGTACAATGATATCACTTCTATGGATTCATATTAAACACTGCTATCGATAATGTTAGTCTGTGGGAAATATAGCCGGGTTCATGGGAAGAATGTTATTTATTTTTACGGGAATAAAAATAGGTGTAAAAATGTCCGCGTCCTTTCTACAATCTGTGCGTACACCGGAATTAATAAGAATAAGAATCGGGGGGGGGGTTATAGATTTAATTACTGGTAACGAAAATCTACCTCTGTTTTTTTTTTATTTCTATACAACAGAAACATATTAGTTTTACGATCAAATCGAAACTCTTCAATACTCGGGAAGCAGCCTATTTTTTCAATGTAAAAAAAAGTCACTATGTGATTTCCCCATGGCGATAGACCCTACTTGAACTGCCTTTTTGAACTGAAAAAAAAATGATTAAAATGCATACATTTTAAAATTTAAATGATTTTAAAAAAATAGCAAATAACATGTAATAGAACACGGCAACATTACATATTATGCAGTGTATAGATTGTCACTGATGTGGATGTTAGCCCAAAGACTTCATTTCTTTACCGCGTTGTAATTCCAACAGAACACGTGACCAGTTACTCTATTAATAAATGAAACTTCTTTCCAATTTCCCGTACGGCTTGTACTATTAAGAGATTATATATGATTAATTTAATTTTAAACTAACCGGTAGTAAATTTACCGTAGAACTCTGCGGTGAGATTACATCATCTTTATTTCCATGGCAACAAGCACGGATACATTTTGTGACGAGTTCAATGCTATGTGTGACGTATATTTTTATCATGAAATACTGCAGTGCAGTATAATAGCTGTCATATCCCGCCTAAATATATTATGCCAGGTAATAGTTTTCGACTTTTAAAGTCACTCTGAGTTTGCATCTTCAGGTATTTGCAATGCGTGAATCACAATTGTTGACAACATACATTTTGCAACATAAACCATATCACAACGTGATTACGACTACGCGTCATATCATAGTTATTATACGCCTTTCGATCGTTAAAGGGCGGCAGTCGTCACGCGGCGTTCTGTTCGATATAGCGACGTATACAACGCGTGTAAAATACATTGTTTATTTACATAAAATTCGAACACGCGCTACGCGATGACCACCGCGCTTTAAGATCTAGTGTGTACCTGACTTCAGCCAATCAGCACACACCACAAGTCGTCGCATCAGTTAGTGAATGAATCCCGCGCGGCAGTGGCTTTAGAAACATTTTTTTTTTTAAATAGTTAATATTATCTAATAAATACCCCCGCCCAAACGCTCTGATTCGTGACCATGTTACATGCATTTAATTTGCACGTGGACTTATAATATTATTATTTATTAAATTTAAAGAAAAATTCAATATTGTTGCGTGCTGTAGACAGTCGAAGCATGCCACTACTGTCACGGTAGTTCTACAGTCGAAACTAAAGTCAAAAGCAATCTGCTATTCGTTTGTACAAAACATTCAACATAACATAATTGACATTCATTCAATAATCAATGTGTATGGTTGTTAATATGATTTAATATGTTTATGTGTGTGGATTAAATATGAGATTCTAGTTTCCTGTGTTGGTATTGCTTGAATCACCCCCATTTTATTTGGCGATTCCGGTATTAAGTTACTCTACCGTGAATAGTGCCGAATACATGACTGGCGAAGATTATGGAGTTTAGTCCAGCGTATTCGCGGTGTTGGAAGACTATAGCCACAGGACATCGACATTTCCTATAATCGCGATAAACAAGACTAAATTGAATACCACTTCAATTTCGCATTCGAGAATGACCGGAAAATCTGCCTCGTGGACAAATTTAAATCATGTTATTTCCGTGAGAGATCCAGAGTCCGTGAGAGAAGAGCGACCTGACTGGTTTAACAAAAGGCGTTGCGATTGTGCACGCGCAATTAATGGGAAGCACGCGAAAGGGTCCTTCATTAAAAAGTAATTATAGGGATGAGAGTAATTAGGCATATGTAATTACAGAATCATAATGGTCAAGTATTTGTTTGAAGTTGTCAATGTTTGTGAATTTAAACCAAAATATGTATTCAACAAATTGATCAGATATAAACAAATACGTTACTGTTTTCTAAAGCCTCTTTTTTGTAAGCACTCGTTAGATGATGTAGATTAGTTTCAGTTGTTTCATTTCTGTAAACAAAAATATCTTTAAAAATGGGAACTCGGAATCGACACGAGTGAAAAAGTGTTGATCTTTGATTGCAAAGGGTATAGATATGCCTCTTTTTAAATGTGAGTGTAATTTCGGATTGGTTCCACGTTAACGTAATAGCGATTAAAAAACAAACATATTCTATATACTCCTTCGAAAATGTTAGTCTAAGAGCGATGGAAAAATTTGAAAAAACTTGAAATGCACAGTAAAATCTGCACGCCTAAATCATGGGAAAGAAAAGTCCTGTAGAGATAAATAACAGTAAACAAATTTGCAAGCCTAAATAATGAAGAAAAAGTATTTCACGCAGTGGAAACATAATACATAATTTATCATGACAAAAATAGAGCAAACCTTCGTGAGATTTGTACAGTTTTTCTGCCATGACCCCACCCAGAGTTTTTTTGAAGGATCGAGTCACTGAAAATAAAATTCAATGGAAATACTTTTTTTCGTCATAGGTATGTTTTACATTCAATTCACCAAATTTTGGTGAAAATAAATGTAATAGAAAACCACCAAAATGCCATTTCAGCGAAAATGAATTCCAGCTAAAATAAAGTATTTCACAGTAAGTAACGTACCCTGAAACTGTGAGGCGAATAGGCGTTCCATGTATATGTGATGAGCGTAGCATCACATAATGCCATGCGTAAAAAGACTCGACCCGTGGTGACGACGAGTTCGTGTTCGTTATGAGTCCCATCATGCGATGCATGCATCGCGTAGAAATACATTGTTTGTTTACACAAATCTTGTTTAATAACTTTAACTTGAATAGAAGTATAAATTTTGAAAATGAACTCCTTGCCACAAGAATAGTAGATTTATAAAACAAACACATAACGCTATTTAAATTATGTTACTATCACGCACTCCCATATGTACCTCACATTTTTTTATGTTATACAGTCGTCTGATATGTCAGAAAATTCACCGAACCACTGCCTCAAAACTCCTGATGACGTGTTATATTTGTCAGAAATAATCAAACGCCGACTCGGAAGCCACGTAGGGTGCGATTTTGACATTGTAGCGGAACACGATTTCACGATACATATTAACTAAGAGATGGAGTAGAATAGAAACACTGCCAAACGCATATTGTAAAATACTTTATTTTAACTGGAATTAATTTTCGCCGAAATAACATTTTTTGTGTTTTGTATTGAGTGTATTCATTGATTTTTGATTAGTTGAATGTAAATCACAAGGAACAATTATTTTCATTGGATTTTATTTTCGTCGATTTTTGATACGTAAAATATAGGAGAGAAATGTATTGCCATTGGATTTTATTTTCAGTGATTAATCACTTCAGCAAGAATAAATTGAAGGTGAAATCAAGTGCGTTGTAGTATTTGTTTTTTGTCGGACTAAGACTACAAGAAAATCTCACAAGGGAGATAGAAATGGCAAACCAATTGTTCGTCCATCACTTGGTTTAGAGTTAGATTTGATTTTCACGATGATGCTACTGTAAACAAACGTTTTGTTTTAATCTAGTTTGCGTATGTGTTTTTTTTATATATATTTTTTTATCGTATATTACGTAACGTATTCCCCGCGTATGGGTTTTCCTGAATTTTCATGTTTTTCTCCGTTTAAATTCATCCCTCCTCTCTGGTTACAAAAATCGCTGCAAAATGTAATGTTGGTTGTCATTCATGGCGAAAAATGTAAATTATCTTTTTAATTTACCATCGAATTATATTTTTTTGCTTTCTGTTCTAAAACGGAGGAGTTTCCCATGTGATGTTAACTCTTCCCCTAAATAACATGAGTTGATTTGAAAGTTACCGGAAATTATCTAAAGGTTTGTTACACGACATGAAAGAAAAGACTGATTGCGAAGAATGGAATATATGAAAGAACATTCGGAACTATTGTGAGCCGCCCTGATTCATTGATCAAACACTCGTGTATCTTTTGTTTGCGACAAAAACAACTATTAAGTGAGCAGTTGTTATTGCAAACGAGTGACTCCCCAATTAGCTAATTGTAATATAATTAGGGCTGCCGTTTTTGACGCACAAGCACGCGTACAGCAATACGCCGGTGTTTAGCGAACCATCTTGAAAAGAAGTCAGTGACAGTGATTTTTATTATTTCACAACCTGGCTTATTAACTACGAAAGTGTGTATAAAGATATTTTCACGCCAGCAACTGGTTTGGTACAATGACATTAACTTATTTTTTTACCGATTTTCAGTTTCTTTACGCTGTTTCATTATCGGTGGAATGTTTGGGACTATTTAAAGATATTTCAGCGCTTTTGTGAAATAACATTCTAATTTTCCTCGCCTCGCCAAAAACTGACACCTATCAAACATGCAATTTCCCTTGATTCGTCTTCGTGATAAGTAATTCGGATCGATCAGTAACGATGAATGATCTGCAACAGCTCAAACCAAATCTCCCATCGTCGGGTATTCGCCATGTCACATTCTCTTCTTTGAAAGTGACGTTGTTGCCTGGGAACGGAAACCGGTCGGAGATTACAGTCGAAGGAACTTAGTTAACGCACTGTTCTTTTGATCGTGTGTTAATAGACACGCCATGGTGTCATGACAACCATGACATGCAAGTGGGCAGCGTCCAATGAGATACGACAAAAGTGGCGGTCACGTGACGAAGTTGTCTTTAAAGTTGGAAATATTGTCCGTTGGCTTCATTCAACAAGTTTATCCGAATCACAAGATCCTCTCAGACCATCGCCGGCTCATTCAAGAATGGCACTTTCAGATAAAGCCCAAGCTTTCTCGATCGACTCGATTCTGAAAATCGACCGCAAGAGAGAAGTACAGAGAAAGAAATCTTCGGACAACCTGCCACCCTACAGCGGCTTGTGTCGTACATCCAACACGTACCATCCTTATTCCTTCGATACGTGGTGTCAATCAATGAAAGCAAGTGACACACGGAGAAAACAAAAGAACAACCGATGTCGTCAAGTCATGAAACTAAACGATTACGACACCACATCAAACAGCGACAGCCTCGTGAGAATGAACCAGCTCATCGGAAAGACCTCTGACATCAGTACAGAATTATTGATATCTGATCTGAAAGTCGAAACAGAACAAGATAGAATTCAACATAGTTACGACAAGGGTCTTCGCGATCTGTTGCCAGGGCAGCCAATTTCAATCACTCATGATGGCGTGACAGTGTCGTTAGACGAACCCGATTTATGGCGCGAATTCCATAAACACGGAACGGAAATGATCCTCAATAGGACTGGAAGGTAAGTCATGTAAAGCTCTTGAAATAGTGGTATAATTGTAGTTTCCCCGTTTATAGTGGTAGTTTTATAAATACATTTCACCTAAACCACGGTTGAAATCGAAAACTGTTCTAAAGTATTTATAAAACTTACTGGTCTGAGATAATAAGCCCAAAGGTAGCGATCGTAAAAGGAGGACGAAATGTAGACAGGCCCCAATAAGGACGAAATTGACGATGCACTTGCAAAATGGCGGTGCAATCGCTAATTACTAGTCATCCCTAGCATATACGTCATCATTTCGTTATCAAATCACAATTTGTTACGGATTCATAACAATCACCTCATGGCTGCATCCAGTCTACGGGCTGCCCAATTAATTTTTAATTACATGGGACATTCTACGTAACTCACTGAACGGTATGCACTGTCCGAAAGCTGAGATATATGACTGAGAATAGGACTATGCGCATTACGAAATTTATGGAAAACGTTGAGAAGAAGCTGTTCCACGGGGTGAGCCGGTCACCACCGAAATGCCCACCATTTGATACATTCAGTTAATAATTGGAGTAAATAAACGTACACAGATTCGTGTTGTTGATTGTTTCCGACAACGGCCCCAATCGTGAAAACAAATATTTAGTATGTCGGTTGTTTCGTCACTCAACCTCTTGTACAAATAAATACACAACGTATGCACGTTCAAATTCTCCAGAAAATACTTACATTTCTATAGCTACACACTTAGCGACAAAGGAAAAATGCATTTAAACAAATTTTACGTAATTACGTAACACTATATTACGTACGAATGTCTTAATTACACACATTTTTTAATTGCACTTTCTTCTATCACTACCTTAATTTGTTTGTGAAAATGCACGTTTTGATTTCAATATTAATATTAATAATTCACTGTTGATGTGAATTTCCTTGCTGTTTTTTAATTTAAACATATTGCTTGGTTTTTCAGACGGATGTTTCCATGCATCGGTGTCCAGATCAGTGGTCTTGAACCAGCAGCCTTATACAGTGTCGAAATGGAGATGGTTATGTCTGACAACAGACGATACAAGTTTATTCACAACAAATGGTTACCAATAGGAAAGGCCGACTCGGATATCAACAACACGCCGTTCCACCACCCAGATTCCACGGCTAGGGGTTCATTTTGGATGAATTCAAAGGTTTCTTTCGCTAAAGTTAAAATAACCAACAACAAGGAGAACCTTGGCACACACGTAAGTATTTTCACAACACGTTCGTCATTATGCTGAAGTGAAACTCCCTGGTATCCACGCCTTTTATACGAGTATATGTGTCTGGTTTATGATGCGGCGGGGTTTGCAGCCTCCTCTCACTCAGCACACTTACTTCATTGCAAATAAATAAATAATTAACAGACAAATACATTTATTTAATAAACACAGGATACATCAATGGCAATTGTGAAAACCGTAAACAGCTCGACGGGGACAACAAAATGACATTTTGTCGCTGACAATCTGCCTTTTTTATTTTCAGACTGTACTCCACTCGATGCATAAATACACTCCGGTAATCAAGATAATAAAGCACGGATCACGCGACACAGACAACGGCACGGGTATGTTGCAGTTTTCTTTCCAGCAAACTTCATTCATCGCTGTGACTGCTTATCAAAATGAACACGTGACCCAACTGAAAATTCAGAACAACCCATTCGCCAAGGCCTTCCGTGATGCTGACGTCATTGAGTAAGTGTTACCATTCTTCATCATACGATTTCCGGTGTTCAGATTGCTGAATTCTTTTCGTTTATTTACAGTGATCTTGAGGGTCGTTATTTAGTTAAAGTGGGGAGTCGTCACCTGCGCATGCGGCAGACGATCATAGCGTGTCGTTGTTTACAAACAAGCGTCTACTCATGGGCCTTTGCGTTTTTAGCGTGCGTTGTTATCGTCACTTGGGACTCAATTCCCACGCGTGCGCAAGTGACGGACCCCTCCGCTTTAAATTTTCAAATGTGCAATTTTACCAACGTTAAATACCAGAGTGTGTTTTGTTACTCGAAAATGTTCTACTGGAATGCCTTGGAAATTAACAAATATATTTATTTTTACAGAATTCTCCAAGGAGCTTACATGATAACTGGAAGTCCGATTGCTGCCTATCAAGCATTGTACGGAAAATATGGTATGTATTAGCGTCATCTACGTGTATAATTTCCCCCAGAGGTTACTCACATTGGAGTGCTATATGTATATGTGCCGCCAAAAGGGGTCCCAAAATCACCACTTCTGTCTGGTATGTTATTTTACCCTGTCTGTCTGAAAAGAGGTATCCTTTTTCATTATTTCTGTCTGAAAAGAGGTCCATATTTTCCAAAGACTGTCTCTAGAGCTTGAGTTGTCCAACAGGAGAATGAAGCTGATTTTTTCCTTCTTCATTTCGATCATCAAAGTCTATCCCTGGGAGTCCACATGCTTTTCCCTTGGTACCATTTATGCTTACTGTTTGAAAAAGGGTGTCAAATATACACAGTTTGTCTGAAAAGGGGTAGGTAATTTGCGTTTATTTCTGCCTGATAAGGGGTAGGGGTTTCAAACAACCAGCTACACACCCCTGTCAGTATTTTTTGCTAGTACCTCGGGATAATTTCATAAAAATATCAGGTTTAATATTAGAGATACGTTGATATGTGTAATAGATAGATGTGTAATTCAAACATGGATTCTTTAAAAAAATATTAGTTTATATCTTGAAGATATAAACTGTCGCACCGCGTTGTTATGTGTCCAGCGACGTGAACAGCGCAGGTCAAATACATTGTTTACGCGAAATTTGACTGGCGCCCTGTACGACTTTAGCGCTGTAAAGGCGCGCTGACTATAACACATTAATATTCTGACTGAAGCGTAACCGTTCATTTCCATCTTTTGTCTTAACAGAGTTGTCCACGGAACGTACTAGTGATCTGAATACGAATCCAATAAACAACCTTTCAATCTACACGAGTCATGATGATGCATCCTGGCGACAAGGGGCGAGGGAACAATATTATCACCATGGTAACGGTAACGGTAGAGCTACATCCCTACGTGGATCAGCTTCGTTTCCCTTACTGGACAGCATTTACTGCTCAACGACGTCCTCGACCTCGTTCCAGGATAATTACTTTAATCACACTTCTCGTAATGTATCTACGCCTTCTCTTAATAGTCATCAGCAACGATCGTATCCTAACACGAAATCCCGAGTGGGCCGCAGAAGAACTTCATCTTATATGCCATCGACGCCATTACTTCAAGTCCCCAGACTGTCTTCCAGATGTTCATCGTTGTCCGAAAAACGCAACACAGATTTCACAGCAACAACGGAAGTAAACAATGACTCAGCAGAAGCCAGTCCCGATGTTTCCATCCGGGACATCGATGACGTCACTGTGCATGACACTGATGATGCGGTGACAGACATGGAATGAGCAGTGCTGGCCAGAATCTGTGCAACAAAGCCCCATGGGCTACTATGTAACCGGGAGATTTGATAAATCCGAGATATTAGTGTCTACTTTTTGTACAAAGTTAAATAAGGGAACTAATTTATGATGAAATTTAGAAATAATTGGTTTTTTGTATCCAGCTACAGCGAAATATGAACTTGTACAAAAGATGTTGATTAATGTTGAATTGTCGTAAAATAGTCCCATTGATTCGACATAAACGAAGCAAGAAGTATTTTTAACCACGCCCTTGTAGCAATTTGTACCTGCGATTTCAACTACAAAAAAATCATTGCGAAGTAAGACATGTCTGCATTCTGATAAAATCTTCATTTGTTTCCGACGCAAAGTGTAAATAGCGCCACCGTTGTTCGGGGGTAATTGTCACTAGACGCAATAGAAATCGGAAAACGAGCTAAACAAACTTTAAAAGATGAATATGAATATAAATACTGGGTTGAAAGAAAGTTGTGTGATGTATGTATATATTGTTAGTTTTATTTAATGATGAATTGCCTGTATATGCCATCGTACAGTTTATATTAAAGTAACAATGAATGTGAAAATATGAACACAATACACAACTGTTTCTATTTCTATTTATTCATAAAGGGAAACGCATTTTTTTTTTTTCAAAATTCATTAAGATATACTAAAGCTAATGCTGTTAACTGTTGACCCAGATAGACAGTCAATATTGTCAAGCATTTTTCTCACGATGTATGAGGGATGAAGTAAATTAACCAAACTATGCACTCCGTTCAGAGAAAATTGATGTGAACATTTTTGTCTGTTTTAGGACATTTCACCATTAATTGCTTCCTATATCAAGAGGTATTAGCACATTTACATATTCTCGGCGCGGAGCTAAGTAATCCAGAACAGTCAAATTTATATGCGTTACATACCCAGGGGTAATCTTGTTACACTGTTCAGGGGCGTCTCAACAACCATTCCAAAGTACCGTTTTCGGCCTTTGTTTTCGCCGTGATGGTTGCCATGAGGTGAAAATGCCCGGATGTCCGCCCCGAGAATTGGTGGTAGGGGGTAGAGTCCAGTGGAATTAGGGTTTGACCCGGAATAAAATAGTACATTAGCGAATTTGGTTTCAAACGTTGGCTAAGGTCATTGAGAATGACCAAAAAGACCTGAACCGTTGGGCAATTTTTTTTAGAGCATGTTGAAGATTTATTGTTTTTTAGCACTGATTTTACCTACCGCAGATATCCAACCATGCAATAACCTCTAATTACCATTGAAATGTATTACTATATAGCAACAATATTTTAAAAACAATGAATGAAATATAAATCTGCATCTGTAACAGATCACTGCAACATGCATGACGACGTCATATACATGGTGACGTCATTGCTGACGTCAGAAGTCCGTCGACCCTGTGAAGCCGATGTCATTTGAACGCTAGTCGTCCAGTCAATCTAATTTGATTTTTAGGTCAACCCGGACAGACAGAAAGTTTCTTGACAGATTTAGCAACAATGGACATCTATCCTCGGGGGCGGACATCCGGGCATTTTCACCGCCTGGCAACCCGCGGCGGTGAAAACAAAGGCCCAAAACTCGCAGAAAACGGTACTTTGGGATGATTGTTGAGACTCCTCTGAACAGTGCAACAAGATTAGCACTACGTGTGTAACATATATAAATTTGGTTGTTCGAAATTACTTCAAAGTTGAGTTCGTGTTGTTTTCTCGAATTTTCACCGGCTCGACCGGCGTTCCACAGCAGCGCGCACAGAGCCCATAGAAATGCATTGTACAGTGGTGCGCGTCTTAGCAACGTGGAACGTCTGTGACGTAGCTCCGCCCCCGAGGATAAACAACATATATCAAAAGTCTACCAAAATCGGACAAAGGGAAAGTTGATTTTTTCAGGTATGGATATTGCCCATATAATGGAATTATTAAGCCATTTTATTGATGCAGTAAGACGTACATATACAAATGCACATGGGATAATAATGGTCTATATATCCACATATTTATCACACTTATATTTAGACAGTTAAACATTTTTTTGCGCACATGATGAAGCAAATAGCGCCCTCTATATGCATGTACAGCGCCACCAAGTGGTGATATTTTCAGAAATATACATGTTCTAGTATTAGTCTTTTTTCATTGGCATTTTATCAGTATAAATTCTACACAATATAGAAAACTCTGCGATTATTCTTCATATATCATTTTCATTATTAAAAAACAAAAATTTCAGAAATATTTGGAGCATATTTAGATCCATAATTCGCCAAATCCACATGATACTTTGCTGCAGTCGGTCTCCATAACTCGCACCTCCCACACTATAAGGACATCTGCATCTTCTTCAGCATGTCGAACCTTGATTCTCTTCACTTCCAGTTCAGTTCCCAGGATATTAATGAACCGCTGCTTATTTACTGCATTTGCAAGGAACTATTGTTTCTTCATATTCATAACCATGCAGAATCAAAGTTAACACCATTAGACATTTTCCCTATTGAACGCCTAAGATGAGTTGTGTCTTTTGTTGATGGTCTATCTGAATAGCCATCAAAAACAACTGCAGATGACTTTATATGTTAGTCCTCGGGGCCATGGAACTCTCTGTAAAAGTGAACCTCCATCAATAACATATTTAACCTCAATGGACATGGGACCAATACATTTTCAGACTGCTTCGGCTAAAGCTAGCTTGTTTGCTTCCCGCATCAGTCCATCAGAGGCAAACCACTTGTTTTGATCCTCCTCATCAACACTTGTTCAATTGCAAGATCAGTCGATATACCTGCCCAGTACCTGTCTGTTTCGCCTAACCACATGGTATCCATTCAGGAATGATCGAAATACATCAGCATTACTTTCTGGTAGTTTTGACATAATCTGAAGATATATGTACACTGACTTTGCATAAAGATTATGGCCAGATGCAGCAAGGTATGGAAGCATGTCTGAAAGAGCTTTTAGATGGAGAGACCAGTTACCAGTTCTTTCAGCTTTAATGAACTGCAGAGTATTTCAATCATCTCTATGTACTGTAACCATAACTTGAATGTTCTAAGGGAAGCGAGTGTTTTTTTGAATTGGTTGATTTTTTCCTGTATTAGAGTCAGTACTTCCTCCGAACAAACCGATTCTATCTCTGTCTCGTGTGCAAGCAGCCTCTCTAGGATGATCCCTGCTTTCAACTCATTTGTTGTATCTTCTGTTTGTGACTGATTTGCATTACTGGAATCACCATGTTCGCATGTTCGGGTATATCTGTTAATTCACTAGCACTGGTGTCTTCTTGAACGTCTGATTCTTTCCTTGGTAATGGAAGGTCATACATCATTGACAAAAGCAATGCATATAATGCTGCTTCCACTAGAATGTGATTCCTAATAGTCCTGGAAATGGCCTTGCCACTCAACATATGTCCAATAGCATTCTCGGCATAAATTGTCTCCAATAGTTCCTTGAGTCCAGATCCACTCATCAAATGTCCAATGCAAAACTCATTTGCACATGCAGACCACCCAGTCTGAGAACAATATTCCTCACATTGCTACTTGTGGGATCATTCTGTTGTTGAATTTCCAGTGATTTCCACCACAAAAGCTGATCGAAGGTGAGCATACTTCTTAGCACGTAGTTGAGAAGATACATGGTTCATCAGTTGATTTTATATCGATCATTGGTATGAACATTATAGATGAGACCCCGGGATGACGACCTTTATGTACCATTTGCATAAAACCATTCCAAGATGGTCTAGATGTATGTAACAATCAAGAGATTTTCCACGGAAGATCCACATTCAATGTATCATCACCTGCTACCAAACTGGGCATACTTTAATTTGGCCATGCCCTTTGATAACTGCTTATAATATTTATAATTGACTTTTGCAACAGATACTAATATGTCCTCGGATGTGACATGAACTTTAGGTATGGTGGTGTTCCACAATATCATTGGTGTTATGCTCGTTATTTTGCCCATACCATGAAACGTGTTCAGCCTGTCAATAGTCCGGACACTATGGTCAACAATATCAGCTACATGTTGTATAAAATGTCTGGGTGTGAAACCAGGAATGTCAGCTCCTTGGTGCAAGGTGGCACTAAGTTCAAACTTCTGTATTTCTGCATATGATGAACAAAATCCATGACTATGGAGAGAATCAATGAGAAATCGTGAGCCAAACTGGTGATGCATTTGAACAGCAAGTCCTATTTGTAGTGGAGACACTATAACTCGTGGGTGAACTGACTGCATGATGGCCTGCCCTATGGATGCCACTTTAACATCAGTGTATTTTCCAAAAAACATATGTTAGCTAGCAAGCAATTTTCTCTTCTTCACTTTCCAGCCCCATTCTTCTGGATTAACATGAGTTTTCCTTTCCACATCAGAACCTGGTGAAACTTTCAGGGTGGATGGAACGTACTCAATGGCTTTCTCGGTGGATTGCATTTCTTCAGTGTTAAATGACTAGTTGTGCTGGACGATTTTATATTATTTTTAATAAGTTGTACAGCCGTTTTAATGACCCGATTTTTTCCAGATTCAGGGTCTTCATTCTTTGCATGCTAGTGGAAATCATGTAAAATTGCTGATGCTGAGAAGTCTGGCTTGTACCTGTTGCACCCACTCATCTTCGTGGATCTTGAGTTCTCGTCTAAATTTTTCAAAAATCTTGTTCTTGGTGTAGAGAGATGTTGCATTAAATACTTTATTTCTATCTGGGTGTTTTGTATCCTCTGTTGCTTTCAAGCCACAGTATAAACAGTGGTGTTTCAAATTAAAGCCGCACAAAAACTTCAAATCTTGGTAAAAGTTGTCAGTGTCTGAAAGTGTTTCAAGGAAAACAATTTCGACATAATCTTGTGCTACTTAAGGTTCGGCTTGTTGCCATATAAAGAAATCACGTGATGATAATCAAAAGTCACATTGACTTTACGAACTGAGCAATTTATTATGATTGACAGTCATGCAAGGACTTGCAAATGACTTGTTTTAACTATATTAAAATATGATTACTCTAAACAGAGCAAATAATACAGAAAGGAAAAAGCGACGACTACCGCACTTTAATTACAAAATAAAAATGTAAGAAAAATCTAAAATGTACGAAAACCACTACCCCTTACTTCTATCCGTGTAAAAGAAATTGCCCATGTTATCAGTTCTTAGGGGTTTTTTTGGTAAATCTACAAAAAATTTCCTATCTTTTGATACCAAACTTGTTAATGTACTATTTACTTCCCGGTTCGACCTGTTTCAGGGCTAAATCCACTGGACTAGTAATGATGATATGTGTTTCCATTATGATATATGGGAATATACATATACAAATGCACATGGGATAATAATGGTCTGTATATCCACATATTTATCACACTTATATTTAGTCAGTTAAACGGCTGCTGAATTTTTATGCATATTAATTAACAGTTTTTCCTAAAAAAAGTGTCTTCGAGTGAACAGAAATGAAATACCACATACTGTTGACTAAAATCAATATAAATTCGGACATACAGATTTTGACATGAAATATTGTTGCTGATATATGCGCTGACATATGCGCACTTGTTA